ATTTGATTTTCGGTGCAATTTCATTTCATTTCATAGAAATTTGATACTTGATATTATTTAGGCTGGAATGGATTCATTTAAGTCGATGGATTTGCAGCGAATTGACTGGCTAACCGAACAGACAGACTCGAGTAAGATACAGAGTATATCAGGATTGAGGATCTGTCGAATAGCAGCATACTTTGCTCACTCGACACAGCTTACGTTTTTATTCGGCAAACGTTACCTCGCAGCTTAACAGACTCTATTTTAGTATTTTGACTTGATTCGGTCACATACTCCTAGGCGATATTGCGAGTAGAACTAGAATCGAATGTTTTTGTAGATTTTTGCGGGGTCTTCCTAATTTGCGGGGAAAGTCTGCTGCCCATCAAGGCAGAGAGAAATGTCTGTAAAATGCCTGATTTGCGGTAAGGTTTGTCAAGTATGCGGTTGAATCTGCCAAGTTTGCTGCAAATTCGATAGACCCTCTGGTAAATGCTCACTATAAACCTGTTGTTATTAACACCTTTATAATTTAGCATTATATGCACGAAACCTCAAACCTACCGAAACGTGCATAATTGATACTGTGTATGGCTTTATAGCTGTGCAAAAATTTGACCGGTCCAAGTTTTCAAAATTTAATGATTTTCGTAATTTCCTATTGAATCAAATTTTATTGAAGTGCTACGGTATTTAGCTTATTGCTGAAATCGTTTGTTCCTCTCCAGATACCAATTAGAACATAAATTAGTGATAAAATGAGTCTAACTGGGGGCAAAAATGTTTTGTCTGATGAACGAAAGCATACATAGTTCTAAACGCCTGTAATTTTAAGCGTGGACAGATCGAACCGTGTGAAAGATAACCGATAAGGCATACAGCATCAAAGTAACAGGAATACAAAACACCCAGACAAGAGAGAGATGAGACCGCGCGACAACTCAAAAAGAAGGGATAAAATTAGCGGTATATTTGTATATGGTGGCGGGTGTACGTCTCCCACAAATCATATTCACAGAGCTCCCTGCCTCCTTACAGATGCCTGACTGGAGCACTCATTAGCAAGCACCAGATCATCAGAGCTATTAAGCTATTAAGCTATTAATGACCTGAAGATGGGCGGATCTCTCTCTCTCTAGAGAGGTGGAACTCCGTGGTTTAAGTCTGCAACTCAACCACGTCCAGCCGATATAAAGTCGGCAACTCACTGCCTCGCTGCAGCTCACTACCCAGCCGTAATAGGATAATATGTGACAAACTTAAGCAGTCAGAGAGTCTCTGAGAGACAAGACAGTCAAATCAGTCAAATGACAGCTCGTTGGAGAGACTCTTGAAGCTCAGATCTAGATTGAGAGGCGTCAGTAAAAAGTTCCAGTCTTTAATGCGGTAATTGCCTCATTAACAGAAGTCCTGTCTTAAGGCTGGAATAACGGCCTCAATAACCAGACTCAATCTTTGTGACTTGTCTTCATGATAAATATGTACACGATGAGGAACACATGCCTGGTGTACAAATCCTATATTCATTACTTATACTATGATGAGGGAGTTGACTATAATAAGACTATTAGTGTACTAGCAAACACCGCGCCAAGTGTACTAGCAAACACCACCGCCAAGTGTACTAGCAAACACCACCGCCAAGTGTACTAGTAAACACTACCGCCAAGTGTACTAGCAAGCACCATCGCCAAGTGTACTAGCAAACACTACTGCCAAGTGTACTAGCAAACACCACCGCCAAGTGTACTATCAAGCACCACCGCCAAGTGTACTAGCAAACACCACCGCCAAGTGTACTAGCAAGCACCACCGCCAAGTGTACTAGCAAGCACCATCGCCAAGTGTACTAGCAAACACCACCGCCAAGTGTACTAGCAAACACCACCGCCAAGTGTACTAGCAAGCACCACCGCCAAGTGTACTAGCAAACACCACCGCCAAATGTACTAGCAAGCACCACCGCCAATTCTACTAGCAAACACCACCGCCAAGTGTACTAGCAAACACCACCGCCAAGTGTACTAGCAAACACCACCGCCAAGTGTACTATCAAACACCACCGCCAAGTGTAATACTAATAATAGCTTAACAGCTAATATACTCTATAATACTCTATAATACCCAATACACACCATTATCTACAAACTTACAAACACTCAGTCTACAATCTACATAATGCACCAATTCTACTACTCTTCAGTAGGACCATATTCCCTCTATACCACTTATCCCAACCATCACTAAAAGTACACTCATCCTAACATCCTGTAATTACGCGTCCTGACTCCTAGTGTTTATAGCTTATTGTTACAGGGTCATTATAATATTACGAGGAGGTTTATATACCCTGACTGGAGACGTGACACTAGCTTTACATTGTAACCCAGGTCTACTTTGAGAGAGGCTCAACTTAACCAATGAGATGATATTTTTAAGACGGAAGAACAGAACCACAACTGAGAATATATAATACTGTTGAACAGATATATTATGATGGTGGTACTGTTACTGCAGCCGTATTGACTTGTTAAAGACAGAATAACCATGAGGATAATACCACAGAACAATAAAGTGAAGGAGTATATTGAATAATAAAATGAATGATATGTCGAGGCAATGAATATAAAGTAGTGATATATTAGAGATGAACATTCCGAGCTCCCAGGATATTATCATTTTAAAGAGAGTACGATTAAGGTGATCTTAACTCTTAAGTGGAGACAGCTTCGTAGTCAGTGATGCACGCCGGTTCATTTTTCGCCAACCGGCGGCGGCGTGCCCAAAATGGCCCGGCGTGGCGGCGTTCGGCGGCGTGGAACATAATTTTGTAAAAATTTAGGTTTGAATTTCCAGGCCCACAAAAATTGTGGCGTACGTGCGTGCATGAAATAATGATGTAATAAGTGTGGTTTTTACAATTATATTTGGTGGTTTTTACAATTATATTTAAGAAAAATCAAATTCTTAACATTGTCGTTGGACAATTTGTTAATTTGGATCTCCTAGAGTTCAAAATCAACCCCGACTGGCTCCATACTCTTTCTATATCCTTTCACGCCACGCCGACTTGAGAGGTATCGGCGTGGCGGCGTGTGAAAATGTGCCGGCGCGGCGGCGTCCGGCGGCGGCGTGCATCACTGTTCGTAGTCCGTATTTTTCAGTGTATTCATTGTGGGAGACATGTTATAGATCTACATTTATAGGAATGATCAGATTGATCACAGTTGATCGATTATGTAATATGATCAACTGATCAAGTTATACGTGTACACAAATGGACAGGTTGAGACCAATTTCATTTCATAAAGCAGAAGGTATCAAAACAACAAGTACAACTTTGTTGTCAAATGTACAGCTTTCACACAGGATAGATAGGAAAACCCTTACAAATTGAGGAAGCCCTATGATTAGTATATAGGAGGATATGCCAAGGGAATATTGGGGTCCATTTTATCTTTGAAAACGCTGTTCTTTGACTAATGAGCAAATAATGAGCAAAATTAGCGTTATCAAACTCATTCTTTCATCGTTGGCAAAGAAATTGAATCGTCCCGCGTCCGTCATTATAAACACGTACATTGTAATAAAAGCAGGGGTAAATAAGAACACAAGACGCAATAATTATCATCATTACCCATACTAATCTATATCAATCGATTAATCCTGAGTTTACGTACACCTTTGTTAGAATATATAAAGTTTAAGTTTAATCACATTGGGTCCTTAACAGTAACAGCTGTATTTACACTTACGGAAAACATGTAAATCTGAGTCTCCAAGTGATCAAGTGATGCAATGAACTGATGAGAAAACTTCGATAATACTTTATTATCATATTAATTCTAGTTGTTATATTAATAATTATAATGTTAGTCCTTTATTTAGATAAAGTTTGATCACATAGGTAACAACCCCAGCAGTTACCAAGACAACAACCCCCGGTTACCAAGACAACAACCCCTGCAGTTACCAAGACAACAACCCCTGGTTACCAAGACAACAATTACCCCAGCAGTTACCAAGACAACAACCCCTGGTTACCAAGACAACAACCCCCGGTTGCCAAGACAACAACCCCCGGTTGCCAAGACAACAACCCCCGGTTGCCAAGACAACAAGCCCCGGTTGCCAAGGCAACAAACCCCGGTTGATCGGCAATCAAAACAGAAACGTCGACTACTTTGGCCGGTGTAGAGCAATGAAAATGTGTGTATAATTACAGAAAATTGGGATATTGATTTACGACCGGAAATTAACGTCTAAATAATACACGAGGTGCAATTAATAACTTGATGATGGGTAATCATAGCTCCTGGAGAAGACAGTATGATGGTTCAGCCTTACTCCGGGTCCCAGCAAACAGGGGAACTGAACATAAACTTGTGTAGTACTAATGTGTACCTAACAATACATAAGTTTACTAATTACTCATTACAGAATAAAGAGCGCCTTCTATATTTCAGGATTGCAAATCCAGCCTGACAAGTATCCTGTAGAGTATTTGTAAACCTACTAGAGAATAGGCTATGTAGACGAGATAACGTCGCCACCAACTCAGCTACCCTCCTGAATAAAACATGATAATCCGGTAGTATTACTAGCGTTTAACAGGAGCTACATATCAGGTACTTTGTGAGGCTTCCAAATAGGGGGACTGTTTCTAGCACCCACTCTGCAAGCATGCAGCTGCAGAACTTGGCAGGGCTGTCCGGGTGTAAATAACTGGGGTGCAATATCGCACTGTTAATGTGCTGGAGACCGAGATGCCATGATTGAAATCGGGTTTGCACCTCGTATAAAGAATAGACGGACAGAACTATGGTTAGCAAATTGGTTCTAGACGCTGTGAAAAAGAACTGACTCGCCGACCTAATAGCTGTGGTTACCGAGGTAGATTATCTATGACGATCACCAATTTTACCGGGAATTCCAAGTTGCTGGCCACTAATTAACAAATTAAGAAGCTCGCTTTTATTTTATTGTTACATGAATTTCTCTCCTGAGAAACCTACCTCCGGATCCTCTTCTGCTTCAGAAAATTGGTGGTCTGTATCTTGCACAGAGAACTGGTGCTCAGTATCCGGAACAGACCCTTCGTAGGTATTGGTAAAGTCAACAGACTCCTCCGTAGGTACCGTCATAGTACTGTCAGGTACCGTCATTAAATAACAGTACTCCGCACGCAATTCAAGTAGCTCGCAAAAGTAATTAGACGCGTCTCACAAATTTTACTGTGCTACCAGAGCGAGCAACAATCGGGATAAGTTTAAACTGATCCTCTTATGCCTTATCGATAAGTTGGAATAAAATCACGCGGGCAGGACAGTTGATCGCACGACCAATTAGAAGTGTCACGTGGGCTTCATTAGCAAAACCGGTGGGTCACGGAAACTAGCACGACTTCCAAGAGTTGTGTCTACTTCTGAGTGGAGATGTCCTGATGATGCGTCGTTTAACCTAATGCGGGGATACTATCAACCTGCCTATAATAACTTAATAATAACTATTCCTGCCGGGATTCTGTGATAGACAAAAGATTTCCGCACGTTTTGTATGTGGATCAAAATATCTGGTACGTGGATTATAATAGATATATATTATATATCCTGTACGACCTGGCTGATTCCATTGTGGTTTTAAAAGCTCATGAATAGCAAAAAAAGTACTTCGACTTACAAGCTTACTTGTCCTAAAATAGCATCATTAACGTCGACACGTTAATCCAGCACATCATCGTTACTTTCTGCTATCACAACCGATACGCAAAACAATTACCGAAAAAATCGAAGTAAATCGCAAACGGTTTTGATGTGTGCGTAGTATAACATCAGCTCAAGTAATATAAACAGTTGCTTTTTAAATCGCTCTGCTTATCTAACCTCAACGGCTCAACCTAAGAGAGACTAGCAGTAGCTACTATACTGTTACTTTTCCATCAACATCTTAAAATCATATAAAACTAAAAGTGGACGCATTTGAATCGCTTCTTCTTAAAATCTGTTCTAAAGAAACGTGATAGTGTTTGTGGCTTGTATATTACTGGCGGCTGGTATTCACTACGATGCACTATGCTCTCAAGACCGCACACTTACATGCAACACAATTCGATCGTTCAAATTTAGATATTTCCTTGATTTTGCGGCCCCTGCAAATGAAAAGCATGGTCAAGTTTTCTATAGAAGCGCTTATTGCATGTCAAAGTCAAAACTAAGGATGACGATTTAAGATGAACAACCAGGCTAATCTTTTCACTGATTTCAGATCGATTTCTATGTTGAACACCACCTTACATATAAGTACTTTATTACATACATTTTTTAGGCTTTAGCAATTTTCAAAAATAGAACCTTGGGTCCAGTTCCGCTTAAAACGCAATTTGTGTCAGGAGAAATATGTGAACACGTACAGGTCAGTCTGCGAATCATGCTAGAAATATTTGCAAAATATTTCCTTGTGTTTTAAGTGTGTCAGAAAAATGTCTGACTCTCAGGTTCGTGCATGGAGAATATGAATGTTTAATCTCTATTCATATTTAAATTCTAGCACTAATGAGCTGTACTAGTTTCCCACGAAAACAATAAAAATTGGCGGGTAAACAATTTCACGAAAAAAAATGTCATCCGCCAACTTTTATTGTTTCCAATTCCATTGTCATTCAATTCGAATACTCATTATTCACAATAAATCAAGACATTAGCTGATTCTTAGTCTAACAGAAGTAAGCGATGTAAGAGTAAGAGCTACTAGTAGTAGTTATTAAGACTAATTAGCTTCTTATAGCTGCTTCATTATAGTATATGTAGTAGTATAATTAGTAGTATAGTTCTGCACAACAGTAGTGATGCGTAATGGGCCTATTATACCCGGTAGTAGCAGCATGACTTCACCAGGTGATCGGCTCAGGTTTGACTGCTGAAGGCGAGTAATTGTACGTTATTAACAGATTAATCGAGGATATTGGGAACATTAAAAGTTGCAAAAATACTACACCACTGGTTACCAGAAAGTGTCAAGCATCAGAAAAACGGTTGCAGAACGGAAGTGTGACCTTCCTTACTCGTACTTACTTTTTTCCACGATTCGAAACAGTCGTCTGCAAAACGATTGAACTCAATGCACGTTTTCTGCATCGAACGATAACGAGTTAAAGTTAAGCTGTTAAAACAATAGGTGAAGTAGGGCTCATGATCTTAACAGCTTTGTTAACGCTCATATCAAATACGTGTAGTACTCTAGACCAGGCATGCGTGCGAAACAGAGTCACTCAATCAAGCTTATATCGAATATATATATTTGAACATGAGAACGTGTGTCATGTGTGTGTGTGTGTGTTATAGAATATAGATCGAGTTGATCAGCTTGATGTTAATAAAGTATGTGAGACTCTGCATGTTGACCTGTCACAGGTGGTCGGGGTAGATCTTTCACACTTGTCACATACATGTCACATTTGTCACATACATGTCACACTTGTCACATACATGTCACACTTGTCACATACATGTCACACTTGTCACATATATATGTCACTGTGACACATGTCACGTTACTGTGACACTTGTCACGTTACTGTGACGTGGCAAGTGTGGGTTGGTGCATACACACTTGTCACTGTGATATGTGACACAAGCTTGACACTGTATCCTGGGAATGAAGCACTGTCACTATACCCACTAATTAAACACATGGCACATTGTGATTAATATAACGTTCCTTACACCCCATAAAGCTGTGTTAACCGAAATAGCGGAATATTTGTTCCAGTTAGTGTCCCTGTCATTTTCACAGTTCACACGTAGAAGACACACTCTTTGCAGTCATTGTCGAGTAGTTAGATTGTGCGGTGTCAGAGTGATGTGTCACAAAGTATGGTTTCAACAGATAAATTCACAGTTAAATTCACAAATATAGCAACCATGTAAGCTTCCAAGTGTTTAAAAGATAAAGAATAAATAAGTGTTTTTTAGGGTGTTTTTTAAGCGGGTGTTCTTTAAATGGGTGTTTTTAAGCTTTCGAAATCGTCGTTATTTTGTGGAAGTTCGCGAAAATGACGGTATATAGTGAGGAATATAATTAATGAGAATAACTAAATAGTTTTTAGACTGATTAAATACTCGGTATCCTATCCTCTGGAGAGGAGGGGGTTGGTGTTGTGACCCCACCCCCCCCCCCCCCCCCCATCCTCATATCCACAAACAATTTTAAAGCACAACCGATAAACTTAATAACTGACGGAATTAAATTCAATTAACGAACCTTAATTCTGAGAAATCAGATAAGCTTTCTGCATAAATCAGCAATCCTAATACTTTACAAATCCTTTTGGATCTAGACTAATATCAAGATTCTTATAAGAAAGTAAGAAACGGAACTAAAACATAAAGCAATTAACAGTTTTTCTTCCCCTCATCCACTGCCACAAACGTGTCCAAAATACAGCAAAAGTAGTCATATCTGTGGCCGTGAGGTAAAGTTCGAGGAATTTGAACAATTTCGTGTCATATTGCGATTTACTGTGTCTGGTTAAATCGGCAGCTTGATGGAAATTGGATTCAAATGGATAAACAATGGAGAGGATAATCAATGTATTATGTAACTATAATTGATGATTCGAAATTTCAAGGAAACATGCATGATTGGAAGATACTGGACAGTGCCTGATGATATTCAATATTGGTTAGTGACGTGATACGAATATAGTATACTAGTTACTATACTGTATACCATCAGTAATACTAGGCTGTCCTAGACGTTCTGTTATGCGCACTATTTCACCCAGTAATGACAAAATTCACTCAAACCGAATATTTTACCAACATAGTGCATAAAGATAATTCAGAAAATACAGAAGTTATTTACAGATATATGCGATGTAGGTACAACGACTAATTCCATTCTGAGTGTAAATGAGTATACAAGAAGGATTTACGTTGTATCTTGCCACTTAAATCGATCTCCCGATTTTGTGAAATGTGTGTTGAGATGGCTGGACTGAGGCAAAACAATAAAATCGCGAAATTTAACTACAAAACTTCTTACATGTCTTCAAAAAACACATGGTTCACATTTTCCATCATTGAGATTCGGAGAGCCTGGCCCATGACCATCAGAAAGTTCATTTTCATGATCTCGACAGGACTCTACGACTCTCACGATATATCAACGTGGTAACGTTTCAGTGAGTACAAAGAAATCGGGAAGTAATGAGGTTAAATAGTGAAATATCGAAATAGTGAATTAGTGAAATAGCGATTTCCAGACACCTGGCAGCTGGTGATGCTCTTCTAAAAGCTGTGTTTGGCGAGGTTGAGGGATGTGAGGTATAGCTCATCTTTTATGAGGTTGAAATGAGGTCAATCGATCAGCTCTTCTAACATATGTTTGGTAAGGTTGGGTGAGGTTAAGTGATATTTGTCTAACATATGTTTGGTAAGGTTGGGTGAGGTTAAGTGATATTTGTCTAACATATGTTTGGTAAGGTTGGGTGAGGTTAAGTGATATTTGTCTAACATATGTTTGGTAAGGTTGGGCGAGGTTAAGTGATATTTGTCTAACATATGTTTGGTAAGGTTGGGCGAGGTTAAGTGATATTTGTCTAACATGTGTTTGATGAGGTTGGGGCGAGGTTAAGTGATATTTGTCTAACATATGTTTGGTAAGGTTGGGTGAGGTTAAGTGATATTTGTCTAACATATGTTTGGTAAGGTTGGGCGAGGTTAAGTGATATTTGTCTAACCTGTGTTTGATGAGGTTGGGGCGAGGTTAGGTGATGCTCTTCACTGTCAGTCCTCTGGAACAAGCACCCTGACATCAACACGACAGCATCAAAATAATGCTGATTTACATTTATTATAAAGTTATAATAGCGGCGGTTGAGCTGTATGCCAGGCTGCAGTGATACGGAAAGCAAGGCTGTACTGAGTCGTTAGCAGGCTGTCTCTAATAGCAACCCACGTGAAGACACTAACTCCCTCTAGCTACACTGTAGACCAGGGCTAATTAGTGGTAAACGGTCACGAGATTGCCTGTCTTTGTCTGTGCTATCCAATTACCGATATTAAGTCCTGACTGATCCCTGTACGCGCTTATACTGTACACAACCCTCGGTTCTATACCTCATATATGATATTGCGGAGGGTAGTCTATTACCTGACAACGAGCAAGGTAGACATATCCTACTATATCTACTATAATATAAACTATATTATATACTATTACTATAATATATACTATTACTATGATATATACTATATTATATACTATATTATATTATCCTGGTTTATGTTCAGCGTGTGCTCATTTTGACGTAGACAGGGCAATTATGGTTAAAATTGACCGCTGTATAAGTTGGAGTAGTAATTGTTGTTACGTAAGTTTAATCACCTATAATCACCTTTGGGTTTGCTGTTTTGGGTAGCTCGGGTAGCTTTGGTAGCTTGGGTAGCTTGGGTAGCTTGGGAAGCTTGGGAAGCTTGGGAAGCTTGGGAAACCGCAGAGACTTCAGGAAGCACATTTTTTCAGGATGATGGTTAGTGGTTACACGAAACAATGGCTAAAAGTAGGATGTTATATCGGGATACTGTTGTCATCTGAAACTTGTATGACCTAAAAAGGCGATATAATCAAGTGAAGAAAGTATTTTAAATTGATGTAATGTAGACGTAATAATTGTTTTTGAGTTATGACGTCACAGCTCATTTCCAATAAAAATAAACAGAACAGAATCGTTACGCAGCCATTTTTATTGGATATATAATTCAAGGACGTAAATTTCATCGGCTAGCTACGATGTAATAAGTGTAGGCGGCTAGCTCTACAAATTGAGAAACTAAATGAAGAATAATAACTGAAGTTAGTATAAGAATCGTGACTGAATCGAAAAATAAAAACAAGCTAAACCTTAGATAAGAACCCTGACTAAAACTTAAAAAAGACCTAATTGAAGTAAGAATAAGAACCCTGACTAAAACTATACCTATAAGAACCCTAATGGAAGCAAACGAAAGAAACTTGA